TAAATACTGGAGCGAGGTACGGAGGATCTTCTGAACGAAACCACTTTATTCGCAAACCTTTCCTTCTCGAAGACTTCCAAACTCCTTCCTCAGCTCCACCTGGTCTCCAAGATGCAACCAAGATGCAACCAAGATGCAAACACAGGGGGCTACTTCGGGCAATTCAATTTCCCCAACAAGACGGGACTTTATTATCGACGAGGTACGGAGTATCCACTACCACGTTGCAATACTACGATCCATCTTCTTTTTCCTTAATGAGATCGGCTTGGCTCGTGTTTCGGGTCTTTTTTTTGTTTGGAGTTTTTGCATCCTGTTTTTCCTTCCTAAGATTAGTTGAGACAGCTCATGAGCACACGATCTGCCTTCATGGCCTGATAATGACGGAGAGCAGACGACAAAATGGTCGATCGAAAATGTCTCGGGAGCTGCACTTAGAGACATCATGATCATCGATTCATCATCTTGCTAGCTTTATGTTGCACGCCACGTGGGAGATGAGATACTGCAATACCTCTTCAGCTGTGAATCACCCAGCCACAGGTGCATTATCCTACACGTCAAAATTCCAGCGATTAGAGGCGCGAATGTGAGCTCCTCAAGCATGAAAAGCCATCCTCTCAATTGTTCCGTCAGTTACCGCTCGGAAATAACTTTCCACGCTCTGTTTAAGGTTATATCCGAAGATACATTCTTCTCTTTATTTCCAAGACTTCAAGCTGCAACTGTCCATGCAAGTGCAACTCCTCCACTTTCCTACCTATCACATTCCTCCTCTCCTCGTTCTCCCTCACCGTCAAACCTTCCTTTCCAAGCGTACCCGACCCGATTCCACCCCCCTGACTCGGCCACGGCTCCCCGCATCCAGACTTCCTTCCCGTCCCGTCCAGTCGTGTTCCCGCGGAGCGGGCACCGGCGATCGGGAACTCCATCCCATACGTCGTGTCTGCAATTGCCACGAGGGATAACATGATAAAGGGAATTCGGGATGTCGGGATGTCGGGGTATCACCCGCGAGCCAGCCACCAGGTCGTGTAAAGGTTACATAACGCCGTAGCTTCGTACAGGATGTTCCGGAAGCAACTACTCCGTAGTATCCTACCCAGTCGCCAGTCGCCCCAGAGTCAGCCAAGATCTATCGCCCAACAAAGGCTTTTCGAAGGAGTTTTTTCGGGAAGTATGAGGTTACGCCACGAGATGAACACACCATCGCGTGGTTGCGGCTATGGACCTAGTGGTAGGTGTTGTGTTCCGGATGAGGGACAGGAACCATGTATCCGGTTTGCATGTCTGTGCCTGACTGAGCACTTACGTCGTGCAGTAAGTAGCCGAAGTGAAACTTAAAAGCCTGTGTCACCACATTTTGATGGAAAGATCTAGACCACGCCATGTTGAAGGGTATCTAGGATACTTTAACTGTATGAAGAACGAATTTGAATTGATTGATCTGGTCAAAATGTTCCCCTTTGGCTGGCACGCTCCTTGTAATACTGTTCCGTTGATCCGTGGGGGTAAAATTAATTTAAAAAAAAAATTTTGCTATATTATTTGTTGATTGAGAATACAGTCAGTGATTTGGAGGCTGCAGTGGTGCGCCGCTAAAAAGTTATAATTGTTCGATCAGCTCATGGAGACATTCCACCCGAGTCATTCTACAGACTCAAGAGTCAATGACGTCAAAAGACAAGAAGGGAAGAGTGTGTACCATCCCAAATTTCGATGGAGCATCCCGTCACGCTGTCCCGCTGAAAAGTTATGATAGCTCGACGAGCTCACGTCTGCATTCTTCCGAGTCAATGTTCCATCCTTACACGCGGCGCTTGAGTCTAGATGCAAAGATCTTCAGTCAAAAGCAAAAGAAGTAAACAGTGCCCTGATGTCGGAACAAGAATCCAACTGCGCTTTCTCGCTGAAAAGTTACACATTTCATCCCGAGTCAATATTTTGAGTTTACATGCAGCAACTGAGTCAAGCAAGTGCCAAGCATAGGACGAATAGGATTTCCAAAGAAAGTAAGTAGCCCGAAGTCAAAGCCACGCAAGGTTCAGTTTTGAAAGAACTCTGATTTTCACTTTTGATAAAGTTCGAGCACCAAAGTCGGCGACTCATCAGCCGGAAAGAAACCTCCTCACATTTCTGGCAGAAAATGACAAATCTCGAACCTAATCTCACGGACGGCTCGCTTCACCCATCACCAGCTCGAAGTCTCGAGCAATTAGGTCTGAGCGGAAAGAAGGTTCTGCTGTTTATGATCACGTTCTGAAATTTCAGACACGTATCCAATGGCCCGAATGGACGATCAAGCTGAAAGGAAGTTCTTCCTCACTCCTTCTGCGCTAGTAAATAGCAGCATAAACCAGAATTATAAATAAATAAAAAATTTATTGCATTTGGTCACTCGTTTAGGCAATTTCTAGAATCGCAAGAAAGAGTCGGAAATAGAAACCCATTCTTTCGGCCAGGATGGGGGGTTAGCAAGAGTACTCCCACCTGATTGAATTCGATCTATGTTCATTTTGTAAGGATGGGAGAAGTTTCTTCCTAACTCAGCTTAGATGAATCCCTGAAGTTGTCTCTCGGGTTGGCCAGCCGTGGACTTGATGGAATTTGCGCGTTCTGATTCCTGGGTTGAGGTGTTTTTGGCCATTTTGGCATCTGTATCAAGCAGCAGAACCCAATTCCAGAAGACAACAGCCCACGTTCAAAGCAGAAAGGGAGACACTTCTTCCTCGAGACTTCCATGCAGGATGTATGCCCAAAGAAGCAGGCCCATGCGGTGATGCAAATTCTTAATTTTTCCATGTGGAAGTATCGAACATCCTCTTTATACTTCAGAACATCCATGTACGATCTAGAAGCACCAAACATCTCTTTGATACTTCCCAGGGATCCGTGTACTCGATATCAAAGCACGAACTGCCTTTCCGCCTATCCGTCCGGCCGGTCGGCCAGTCGTTTCAGTGGTCGGCGGCCTCGAGCTCGAGCTCATCCATACATAGACCACATCTCGAAACTGTACTTCATGTGCGTATATCGCAACTTTGGAAGTTTTGAATTGAATTCTGTTTGCGAATTCCAAACCCGATTCTGTTTGCCAAACTTTCCTTCCTGATCTCATACTTCCCTTTTGCGCTGCGTTCGAGCCGGCTCTTGGCATTTCTTCCACAAAACCGGCACCAGGACTAACCTCCCTCTCCTGTCTCGTGTCATCTCATCCATCTCGTTTCTTCCCAAAACAACAGACCCAAGCAAACATCCACCAACTATCAAAGTACCATTATAGCTCGGTCCCGCCATCAAAACCCAAACCTTAAACTGACGTATGTCCCTTCTAACTTTCCGAATTACCTCCTTCTTAAGGATTCGAGCGAAATAAGGTTAAAGTTAAACTTTCTCGTCTGCAAGCATTTAATGCAAATACGGACATACGGGGACAATTAGGACACAAAACAAGCACAGACAACCCAACCACATTACGGAGGAATGTCTCCGTTTGGCTTTTGACGTTCCAACTGATAATGGCTGCGGCTCGGAAACGAATTTGAGTGGGTGTTGTGTAACGCTGGGTTATGCAGGGTCTGTATTCTCAAGCTTTAGGTTCACATCAACGTCGTCGCCAAGAATATATAGTGTTGGAAGAAAGTATAAGCAGCGGAGGAGCAGCCCTAATCTGGCACCAAGGACCGAGATGGTTGAGAGGTTTCCGCGGAGTTTAGAGGCCAACGTCAATTTCATTATTGCAATAAATTAGAAACATAGAGTTAGAGTCAAGGATGAATAATGATGGTAAACAGGAAGGAGCAAAGGAAGGAAGAAGGTTTGCGCTAGTACACGACAACGAGAAAGTTCGGAAAAGCCCTAAACAAAAGTTTGGGGAAAGTGCCGAAGGCCGAGAAAGCCAAGAACATTGTGGAGAGAAGGAGAGAAACGAAGGTTCGGCAGTTAATCGCGAAGAGGGCTGAGTCAAAGTCTGACGAGGTTGACGAGGTTGACGAGGTTGACACAGAACAGTGTAAGAGGTTGGTACATATTCCCTGTCTACATTCTAGATACGGAGGCACCTCCGGCGAGGTCTGAGTACGAGTGGATTGGTTCAATCAATGAGTGCAGGAGCATTTCAAACTCAAATGATCTGATATTGGCTGTGAAGCTTCAGGAGGTACTCTCGTGCCGAATTTGACATTGAGCGAGCGTCGAGTACGGAAGGGGGTTGCAAGAAATCATCGACACCCCCCATGTAGGCGGTGGGATCAGCTGCCCATAGAATCACATCGAATCCAGCGATATTCCCCGCAAATTTCTTAAAGTGGTGTGGCAGAAACAAGGGGGGTGTCGATGATTTCTTGCAACCCCCTTCCGTACATGCATGATTTTACCGCACAAGAGAAACATGGCAGGAGCCGCGACAGTTTTCCCATATCCCCTTTCTAGTACTATTTTCTCAGACAAGGAACTCGAATTTCATCGATACTATTGAATTAGTAACACTTAGTATTCCGTCAATCGTCTCCTCCACCTCGCCAGTACTCATTGTGTGACCTTGCAGATGAGAACCGCGTCCCAAGTTTACTTCAAACTTTCAATATGAAAGTAGTTCTTGTACGATGACTCGGGAACCATCGCTCAGTAACCTATTGACTTGTTACCGGTGCAGCTGCACCGTATCAGGTACTGCAGATGTACGCCGCCTCGCTTATGGAAAAGGGGGTGGGTTGACCCGTAACGTCGTGGCGACTTCTTCCAACTTCCTGACGTCCAGCTGCTTTAATTGCCTTCGCACTGCGAAGATTGAACATAAATCTTGAGAGATACCGAACTTCGTTCAAATTCCCACGAGAAATTCCATCCAGATTGTGAGTCACCACAACCCATTTCCAAAACGTCGAGTCTGACCCACAAAGCACACAAAATCCACCATATATATTTAATTAACAGAATGATGGTCAGCATGGTAAGAGAAGGTCATCACTCATTAAATAAAGTGAAATCTACTAACAAGAAACAGATAGCACAGTTGGAAGCGCATGGGGTTAATATCCCCAAGGTCCCTGGATCAAGACCAGGTCGTGCTAGATATCTTTTTTGAATTCTTTTTGGGTGTGGGATAGGTGATCAGAGATGACCAAACTTTGGAATGTAGGTTTCTGAAGCATTCTTTTGCTTTTGATTGTTTTGGCGATGTGGAGAGTGAGATTCATATGCAAGTGTTTCAGTACCGAAGGCTTTAGTGAGAGTGAGTCTGGCAACTTCTTTCGAAGCCGTCGAATCAGACTTCGGCACTTTCAAATGATTCGATGCTGCAAAAGATACCTAGTGACATACAATGAGAAGGGCCTTTCTTTTTATTTGATTGCCAAATATGACAGCAAATGGTGGAGCTCCGAGTTGGGTAGTGTCATTGTGACTTCACCCTCCTTTTCGGCCTCTCGTTTATAATAGAAATGTAAACATCTCCATGCTCCTGTCAATCCACCTCTTTATCATCAATACAATGCTGCAAACCCAAAGCTCATTCTTAAAGTAGGCAGGCACATCCTGCTCCATTGAACAGACTTGCAAAGGATCTTCAACGTCCAAACATTCACTACTAAGCTAGGCTAAAAAATGAAGGGACAGGTATTAGCGTGAGAGTTGCGCTCCGCTCCGAAGGGTAGATGTGCAACAAAACTTGATCAATGTCCTCTTGAAGTTGGTACATTGTGCAGTAGAACTCCTCCTGATATCCTCACCTTCGAGGAAGCACTCACATGGGACCTATGCCAATAGTAGATAGGATGGAGGCACTGTAGCCTCAAGAGATAGTGGCGCCAACTTCTCCGGCGACTTGAGATGTGCATCAGAATTGTTCAATGTCCCAGGTATGGAGAGGACTTTCTACAGCTTTATCTGATGCATAGCAAGACTCGCTAGCATCCAGCCAGGAGCTAAGCCAAGTAAGGATATGGTCCAGGCACTAACGCATTCGGACAGGTTCGCGCTAGACTGAGATCTGCAACGAAAGTTGATCAATGTCCTGTGGAAGTTGGTACATTCACTCAACTTTCAAGGAAAAGCTAAGCCGAATGCACTATTGAGCTTGGATAGCGGCCGCCAGGTGTAGTTATGCAGCGAAACCTGGTCAATGTCCCAGTTGTGGATGGGACTTTGAAGCTATGTTCATGACAGACGAACTCGTTCAGCTCTCAAACTCTCAAGAAAAAGCTAGGCCAAATGGAAGTATGGGTAAGTCAATAGCAGACCCGGAGGGGTCCGTCGTGAGTAGACGTACAATAGAACGTCTAAGAGAATTGGTACATTGAAATGCAAAACGACATAGACAAAAGCTACGACTATGATGAAAGCCTCACTTGAGAGCCTAAGATATGCAAAAGCAAAAGTCAAAAACAAAGGGTAATACTTCAAATCATGGATATCATTCTCCATGCTTTTTTCAGTATCTCAGAGGCGGGTACTATACCCACTCCATGCCATCGCTCTCCTATTCTGAGGCCCTAACTCCAAACGCCACTTCGAAAATCTTACATCCAACACGCTCAGGTTCACGCTCCTATAGGACCACTCTCCTTTCTCCATCCCTTCGACCTCATGTTCTCCTCAACCGCCTTCCAGATCCCCTCCACAACCTCTCTGTCCCTCCATCTACCCGCCGGCCCCTGTCCCGGATTCCACTTATCGACCTGAACACTCATGACGCCTCTACCCCATCCCCTAACCGTATCCGGTGTCTGGTCTCCTCTGAATCCAATATAGACACCCAATGTATGCTTGAACAGATCTTGGGGTTGTTGCCACTTATAGCTCTTGAACTGCCATGCCTGACCTGTTGTGAAGACCGCTACAACACGACTCCAGTATTCAGGCTTGAAGCGCTCGGGCGTGTCAACAACGGCAAAATTGATAGGCTTGATAGGATCAACAGACGGAATGAGGCGGGACATTTTGAGAAGTGCATTGGAGGCTGACGGCATGCTGCCACTGTCGGGAGGGACGTATATTCCTGTTTCGAGGAAGGACTTGGCGTTCGACATGCGGAGAAGAGAAGAGGCTGATGGGGAGAGCATGATAATCGGTTCTGGTCGACGAGCTGGGGGCGCTTTAGGGTTGTGAGCGAGAGTCGTGCTTGAAGCTGCTGCGGCGGCAGCTGCTTGAGCTGCTTTTCGGGCGTTGAATGGTGCTGCCATTTTGCGGACATGCGAGAAATCCTGCATCAATCAGCCAGATGTCCTTGTCGTTCCTACACCATACACATGTGCGATAGGAGAACACATACCGTAGGCTTGATACCCCTCAATACACTATTCCTGTCTCCCATCTTCCTCTCTCCATTATAAATCTCCTGCAACCGGGGATCGATAGTCTTTCCCGCTCCCGGCTTCCCACTCGATACTGGCGCAATACCACCTTTAACACCAGCGGCAACCTGCGCGCTCGCCGCTGCAGCACTCGTATCCTCCTTCAACGGTCTGATATGCTCAGACTCTTCACTCGCCCCTTCAAGCCATGTAATGAGATCCAACCGTTCAACGAAAGCAAGATTCTGGACTTCTCCTCCCGCGCCGCCAGCAGAAGCAAGCTCCGCGTTGAGTGAGAGCGCTGAAGCATTGTATTCCGGAATCGCAGTCTCGCGCTTCAGCCACGCGAAGTAGATACTGCGCAAGTCGACCGGTTTATCGGAAGAGATGAAGCGCGTAGGCGTATTGAGAGGGATCGAGGTCGAGACTGGAGAGGAGAATTGGAGGTATGTTGCTCGAGCTAGGCTGAGGTCGACTGAGGATGCGGACGAGGCATCTTCTGTTGTGGCTGGAATGCAAGGGCTTCCTGCTGCTATTGACTGTCGCAGGAGGAGCAAAGGATCTGTCTGAGAGGCAGACATCTTGCTCAATTGAAATGCGACGTTGATTTTGAGGTTGGAAAGCTTTGTCTTCGAAAGGCTGCGAAATGTCGAGGTCTTTTGGTACGGCAGGCGATGTCGCTACTAGTGCACTTCACGAAATCACGTGGACCTTTCGACGACGACGTCGAGATCAACTTTGGTAGGGCATTTCCAACTCAATCACCCTGAAATTCCAGTAACTTGTGGGACTTTCATAAGAGTAAGTTCCGTCATATGTTTGTACTGCCTTGCTGGACGAGCACCATCAAAAGTCTTATGTCACACCAATTCTGATGCAATTTGATATTGGATTCTCAGATCAAAGCATTTCATTCTTGGTTAACTACGCCTGAATTCCATCAAGCTTGCATTTTCAGGAGAATGTCCCGCAGTACTTGGTACTTGTTGGCAAATCTTCTCCCCTCCCATCCCTAGCAGCCATATCATCTAATGGTTGTACCGCTAGACGACATATTTCCTGTGTTAACCCGCTTGATCACCTTCAGTGCTACGGACTTCCTCCTCCCATGAAATGGGCAGATTCCTTTCCCTCCACTCGAATGCATCGGATTCTTTGGACAAAGCGGGCTGCTTGGTAGGTGCTCCGGAGGCAGGCTCAACTCAAAAGCAGATGGCGAAAGTGCTCTAGCTAGAGCTGGATACTTTTCGCTTTGAATGGGTGTCTTGTTACCTCCAGTGATGTGCTTCGAGTCGGTGTTCCACCATCCCCGTGGTGACTTGGGTTTTCCCGTGGCACTCCCAGAGCCATTACTCGTGGCCGGCGAGGCTGCCTCCGCTTCATCCTTGGCCGCTTTCAAGTCGAAGAAGAATCCTCGCGCTCCGCCAGGAGTGCCGGGAGACATTGGCGGCGTATTTATGCGTTTGGCTTCGGATGGAAGGAAATTAGGCTCATTTGGATCTGGGCTCGATATCTCAACTAAGACGGGACAATCAGCTTTCCTGCCTACAGCTTATGTGGAAGACTTGACTCACCGTTCGGGTATGTTCTCCCTTCATGGCCAGCATACTTACGATCGGGATGTGGTGAGGCTACAGGTGTTCTGCCCATCAAAATCTGGTGCACAGAGCTTGACACTGATAGGAACGAACCATTGGAACTCTTTCGGTGCCATGGAGCTAGACCGAATGGACGGCGAGTCCTATACTCAGGTGACGAAGGCAGAACAGGAGTTGAAGCACACGATTTCGATCCCAGTCCTACTCTTTGATTATTGAAGTAGCTGGCAGCTCCTTCAAGGACGGTAGTTGTACGAGAACCCCAGCCTACCATATCGACGGAGTCCATCCCGGATTCTACCCTAGACTTGGTTAATTACTATAATGTCCCTTGACTCTGGGAACATTTGACGTACCGGTTTTTGCTTTTTCGGGATTAGTAGCCGCTTCTTGATTGACTTCTTTGTCCTACAGTACGAGCCCAAGGTTTCTGGCTGGCTGGAAATGTCCGTCTCGGTGTCAGGTCTTAGGAAGTTGAAACCACCCAATTTTATACTGAGAAGAGACTCCACCTTGCTGCTCTTACGACTGCTCTTTCGGGAAGGTTTGCCGGCCGTGACGAAAATGCTGTGACTAGAGCTGCCAATCTTGATTTCTGGAATGTCCGTTCTTTGAGGGACATTGTCCGCGGTCAACCTGCTAGTAGCTGAATCTCTCTTAGATTTCTCTGCCGACATTTCCGGGGATATATTCCACCACCTCGGTCGGGTCTTCTTGAGCGGAACATCGCGGACCTCTCTTTCCGCCCAGTATCCGTCCGGGAACCATACCCATTCTAGTCCCGGTCTTGGAGGGCGGGGTGGATCTGCGGGGTGCCGCTGAGATTCGAACAAGGATGGTGTCCAAAGTTTGGTGCTAGCTCCGACACTCTTGTCATTCCATTCTGCGATGTTTCGACGCTTTCTCGAAGCTAGCAATGCAGAGCTGATCGAATTCGCCGGTGTCCTGTTTCCAAGGAGTTAGTTTCGTCTGTCGAGCGATTTGAACCCAGGAGAATGTCCCGGCAGTGCTGGTACATCCAAACCGATCGAATAGAGCAAAGGGAACCTCCAAGATGGCGACTTACCTTGCATGCTTGCTTTTGGTGGTCTTGTTCGATTTCGCAGACTTCCTCGACGCGTTGTCCTTGAACTCTTGGTAGCTCGGAGACACGGCTGTTGAATCGCGGGTTTGTCGATGGAC